GTATATTAAGTAGAACAGTGAAAATGATTTAAATACAACAATTACAATTTGTAACAGTTTCAGCAATCTAAACTTCATAAAGCAGAGCTTAATAAAGCAGACACTTCGTAACAAATAGTAACAAATCCTTATTAAAACTAAAATAAAGACTAAATGTACTGACAAATTATAAAACACTAAACTGAAAGTAAACTAAAACAATCACAATGTGAAAAAACAGCACCAGAGGCTTATTCAAGTTGTCCTTGTTCTGGGTTTAATTTCTAATGTCTGAATGCATTTTAAGACAAAATGCAAGATCTTACTGTTTTGGTCCATTTCTGTATATAATAAAGAGAATAAACTATATACAGTATATAATCACATCTCAGTAAGATAAGTCGACATTTGAAACACTTTAAAGTTTTTTTCCTCTATTTGTATCATTCGATAATTAGAGATTAGATAAGTTGAAACTCAATATTTATTTATTTTTTAAATGTTTTAAAATTCGACACTTTCTTTTTGTTTTGCCCCGGTGAACATTTCTGAGTGTTTATTTCTGTTTATAGTATTTTTCCCGTATTTGACTTGGACTGTTGATCTTATTTTGATTCTCTGCTGCCTGTCCTAATCTTTGCCTGCCTTTTGGACTCTGTTTGTTTGCTGCCTGTCCTGAACTCTGCCTGTTCCTGTTTATGCTGTCGCAACTGTATCTTTTACTGCTTGTGAATCTGACTATCAATAAACTGCAGATGGATCCTCACTCCACTGACGCCTCATTTCAATTTGAAGGGGCATTAGAATTGGGACAGCCTATGTTCCACTGCGGTAATGCAATCTGCCTTCGAAGGATGCAGCCTCTGAATTTTAGGATGCAGAAAATGACTGCAGGGGAGTGAGGCATCAATTCTGCTGGCTAAGTTTTCGGACGGCGCTTCTTTATATATAATGGTGATCTTGATAGCAAACTGTATTTTCATGGGTGATGTTCCTGAAGTTCAAAATCTGTATGGACATTTCATACTCCATCCTAATCTACGGACCAATCATGAGTATTTCACAAAGACCATTTACATGACATAAATAAATATATTTATACAACAGTTGGTCCTCGTTTTCGATTCTGATTACCTGAGAGCCTTTTCCAGCCATGCAATATTCTACCAGTATCACCGCAGGAACTGTCTCACCGTTTGTATCACTCCGCCGAGTGTCACGGCAGACACCATAATTTTACAAATACTACTGTTGTTGTGTCACAGAATGTAGTTTTAATAGTTGTTTAGTCGAGAATGTAGTTATTTAGACCTCAAATATGTGACTTATATATAAACATGGAGCCTAATTGCCAATTTTGTTCAGACATAATCGACCATTCAGTGCTCATGTACCCACCGAGAACCGCTTTATCTCGGCCAGTCCTTCTGAATCTGGAATTTTGCCGCTGGCTCTTATGTAGATAGTGTTTAAACTGATTCCGTTAGTGATTGTGATTTCAACTTCAGTGAAAGCTATATTATTACACCATTAGATTGCAGCAAATACTGTCTTTATGAGTGTGTCAGTAGAAAGGATTTTTATATTGAAAGGTACTGAAACAAGGTTGTAAACAATAGGACGCATCTTGCAAATTAATTGACAAGCGCTGTCTTGGGAAATCCCCTTAACTGTTAAAAGGACAAAGATAAAGATATCACTTACCTAAGCGGACATTCAAACTGATTTTGTGATTAGGAATATAAGATTGACCTGAAGAATATCAGCTAGATGCTGGTAATGCAATAGTTTGGTCGATTTCTCTCTCATAACACTCTTCTCCACATAATACAATAAGCTTCAATGAAGCAACTCAGTGTTGCTAGTTCTAAAGTGACGTTTTAGAATTAGTAACGGAAGCCTCAACTGTTAAACTGTTAACTTGAATAGTGAATCCGTGGTGGAAGGAAGCAGTTCTGCACAAAATAATGTATATTTTTAAAGACATATTTATTTTGCATGGCTACTCATGTGATATTGCTTATAGGCTTGTTTGTGCATAGCTCAATAGGTTTATAATTCTTACTCACTGGAGAAAAAAAAATTAACTTTTTGGAGGTCCAGAGAAAACTGAGGGTTTATTAATATAATGTTAATATAACGGTAACACTTTAGAATACGGTTCCTTCGTTAATGAATAACTACACAAGAACTAATGAGTAACACAATATTAACAATCTAGTAACTATTATTAACTAACAAGAAACTCTGATTAACAAACTAGTAAGTAATAGCGCACAGACGAAAGTGGTAGTTCACTATTAAGTAATCAATAACTACTATTTTTGTAATACTTCCCAGAGAACTACTGAAAAAGTTTATTAACAATCTAGTAACTACTAATAACTAAAATAAACTCTTATTAACGAATTAGTAAGTAATAGCTCACAGATGAAAGTGTTACTAGATACTTCTTTGGGAATTACTAATTATTTGGATCCGTATTATAAAATGAAGATCATTGGAACTAACTAGTAATTACTCAAGTGTTACTAAAGACATTTTCTAAAAGTTACTAAAGTTCACCAAAAATCTCAAACATTTGCACAAATCATGACTAGATCATGTAGTAACACTTGAGTAATTACTAGTTAGTTCCAATGGTCTTCACTTTATAATACGAATCCAAATAATTAGTAATTCCCACAGAAGTATCTAGTAACACTTTCATCTGTGAGCTATTACTTACTAATTTGTTAATAAGCGTTTCTTTTAGTTAATAATAGTTACTAGATTATTAATAAACTTTTTCAGTAGTTCTCTGAGAAGTATTAAAAAAATAGTAGTTGTTGATTACTTAATAGTGAACTACCACTTTCGTCTGTGCGCTATTACTTACTACGCTATTACTTACGTTAATCAGAGTTTCTTGTTAGTTAATAATAGTTACTAGATTGTTAATATTGTGTTACTCATTAGTTCTTGTGTAGTTATTCATTAACGAAGGAACCGTATTCTAAAGTGTTACCGTGAACTCTAGTGCTATTCTATAATATTGAGAATGATTTTTGTAACTATATCGCCCTTTGTGTAAAAGGGCCCTAAAGGTACACTGAAGTACTTTGGAACGCACTGCTTATGATGCGTTGACGTAATTTCCAATGAAACAGGAAGCTACGGTGGAACATCTTGAATGGCTCCTCCCCCTTTTTAAATTGCCAATAGCGTTTAGTTTAACTCACAGACTGCGAGTCGTACTACACGGCGCCATGGAAGTGAATCCAAGCCCTGCTGATATGTTGGATTCAATAGTAGAGGTATGAATAAATTCTAGGCGTTTCATTCTCAACCAATGTACAGTCGGAAACCACATCGTTAACCCATATTGCACCGTGACGCTTTAGATTCAAGAGAGCATTTAATTGGACAGAAATGCGATGATAAGCTGAAGTCAGTGGTGATGTGAGAGCAGAAGTGAGAGACTAAGTTTTGAATGCTTATATCGCCTAAATGCTAATTTTGGAGCACACCATTCATAACCTTTAGGCTAACATATGGTAAATGGTAAATGGACTGCATTTATATAGCGCTCTAAATAGTTCTCTAGATCAGTGTTTCCCAACCCTGCTCCTGGCGGCACACCAACACTGCGTGTATTCTTTGTCTCCCTTATCAAACACACCTGATTCAACCCATCAGCTCATAATCAGGTGGGTTAATGAGCTGATGGGTTGAATCGGGTGTGTTTGATTAGGGAGACAAAGAAAACACGCAGTGTTGGTGTGCCGCCAGGAACAGGGTTGGGAAACACTGCTCTAGATAGACTCTCCGTAAATAAAGTAACTTGGGAGCCAATGTCGACCAAACAGTTAATCTTCACCCCCTTGACCTGGATTTTAACCTCAGGACAATGCCCAACTCATTCTTCCCCGGGGGTAGGCACAGGAGGGGGGTCTCTAAAAGAGGTCCCGGCCACTTGACCCACAGTGGCCGGCAGACCTAAAAACCCCTTTGCGAGCCACAACGGGTGCCACACTGACGACTTATGTGCCCCGGCTTTCCGCAACTATTGCAGATTATTCCACCTTGAACCCACTGCTGGATGGGCAGGATGACGTCCCGGGTCTCTGTTCCCGTCAGAGTACGATCGATCACGGGCCTTGGGCATGTCACTTGGCCAACCCCGATGTAGTTCTTCAACAAGACTTTTGGATAACTGCCATCTGGCCCTTAACCTCCGACAAAAGCTCCTAAAATGCAACTTCTGCTTCCAGTTAGTCATTTCAGAAGGGATAGGGGCACAAGCACTGCTGGTCGCCATACAGATAGGTGGTTCAGTGGTTTCACCTTGATCTATCTCTAGAGCCAATGCTTCTTGTCGAAAGGCCTCGAAGGTCAATGCAGGATTTCTACGTAGTTGAAGCCGGATACTCTATCGAACCGGCCCATCGTGAAGCCCCAGGACAAACTGGTCTCGCAGTAAAGCCGGTTCCCCAAATCCCCTCAGCCAGGAGAATTATTCTCTTAATTTTAGAGAGTAAGCCCGCAGAGTTTGCCTGGGTTATTGACGATAATTAAAGAACTGGGCTCTAAGGACAGCCACCGGGGTACCATCTCCATAGAGCTCGGTCAGGAAATCAAAGATGGCCTTGACAGTAGCTTGCGTAACTTCGGATGCTGCCAAAACTTCTCGCTTTGCTTCCCCTTCTAGGGACCCAAGGACAAACTGGATCTTCTGTGGGTTGCTCAGCCCTTGCAAACCTGCCAGATACGTAATCTGCATCTTCCATTCCTGGAGACCCAGCTTGGATCCCAGTCCTCCATATCGCTGAGCCCAGGGAGCTCCCATACAGGCATGACCTATGTCCGTCCGTAATCGTGACCCTGTGGCCACTACAACTCCCGGTGGGTGAATCCTGCCGACTTTGCCACTTATGTCACTGCAACGGGATGGTCTGACCCACACCCGGACGGACGTACACCCCACCACGAGGAGCCAACACCACGAGTACACCAAATGGTCGGACAAAAAGAGACCAATGAACAGATTAAAAGGGATGTTTAATTAATTTAAAAAGTCTAAGAATGTTGAGCAGATGGTTTCGCCGTGTAGGCCTGGACGGAATTGGAGGCCACTGGAATCCATAACACTACTTGGTCACACAAGGGAGGTCCTCATCAACGTGACTATTCTGTGGGGCTCAGGCAGAGAGAATAAGGGGTCAAGTTGCTCACCGACGTAGCTGCAGCGTAACTGCTTCTCTGTAGAGCTCAGGCAGAAAGAATGGGGCTCAGTTGCCCATCAGCGTGATCACAGCGTGTCTGCTTCTCTGTGGGGCTCAGGCAGAGAGAATGAAAGGTCAGGGTGCTCACCGACGTAGCTGCAATGATAAGCTTCTCTGTGGAGCTCAGGCAGAAAGAATGGGGCTCGGTGGCTCATCAGCGTATCTGCTTCTCTGTGGGGCTCAGGCAGAGAGAATGAAAAAAGAGGGTTTGGTTATAATGAGCACAATCACTGGTGTTACTTCTCCATCCAGACGCTTATTCAATGGTAGGTTATACTGGTAAAGTAGGCTAAACTAAAGCTGTATTCTTACGGTGTTCAATGATGAATAATAGCAAAAACCAGATTCAATAATACTGTAATACTTCTCTTTTTTGATGTTTGTAAGGGGATGAATTAGGATTGAATCATAATCTCTTCACTCACAAATCAGGCTTCAGCATGGCTTCAGGCTTCAGCTCTTCTATCTTCATCAATGAAGTCCCAACAGCGCACAGAGCCAATCTTAGAATACTTTCCTGCAGCAGTACTTCAGGCAATCATTAATTCCACACACCAGCCCACATAATCATATACATTGCTCGTATCGTTCGCTCCAGCCCAAATGTCACTTATCTCCCTGTTGCACTCTCGTTGCTCGCCGAGGACTTTAACCCGCACAAAGGCTACACGTCGTTCCTTTTTCTCTCTCTTTTCTCCCCCTTCCTTTTTTTGAATCAACAAACAAACAAAGACCTTTTAAAATGTGCTGGCATGGCGCTCCCCAACCAGACATCAACGCGCTTACAATGCGCACCTGCTGCACATCTACCAGGAACCAGAGAAGTCCTGGGTCCTTCCCTGGAAAGGTTCCCCAAAGGAACGAAGGCCCAAAATAATAGTTCCGCCCCCTACTACTCTTAATTTTTCTGTAATATAAAGTAAAATATGATACCATTGCATCAAAGACTGCATAGACTATAGAACAATTCTGTATAAAACAATAGTCGATTTAACATAACATCTCTCTCTACACACTTTGGTCAATTCAAGAATAATTCATGCACTTGTATATTGTTAATTTGAAAACATTAAAAGTGCAGTTTATTGTCTCTTTTTGTATTGTTCAAGTGGTTGAAGTTGATGGATTTATAAAGTAATTAGTAATAAGTAGACCAATACTTTCTAGAGATAGTAATTATTACATTAATCTAATTACACTGTTGAAGATTAATTTCTATAGTAAATAATAAACTATTTCAGAGTAAACTTACCCAACTGTTATAATAACAGAGGTGAAACTGGAAGAACAGTATGTTATTCAACCTCAATTTTAATTTTCAAGGTGCAATCCTGCAGGCATTAAAAGAATGTGGCAGCAGCTGAAAATGAAATATAAAAATATAATTCATTCAGGTAAGGCTTGAACATATCATAAATGTAGGCTACCATGACTTGACAAACATTTGACATATTAAGTAAATAGCATCCAGTGTCTAGCAGTGCAGCAACATTTGATGAAATGGATGGAGATGCAGAGGAGATGAAGATGGAGATGGAGATGCAGAGGAGATGGAGACGGAGAAGGCCCTGAGCCTGAATGCTGGAAGGCCAATGGCTGAGGGAAGTTTCAAGAGCCTTCATAAAAATGTACGAGATCTACATACGTGTTATTTTTTATATAGGTTGTTTTTGATATTTACATATATATTTTACTTTTTTGTTGCTCCCATATATTTTACTTTTTGTTGTTGTTGCTCCAAACAGATTCTGATGGTAATATCTGTCTTTTGGAGCCTCCTGTCCCAACAGAACCCCAGACAGTAACCTACTCAATACACCGGAAATGATGACAAATATAAAATGTGCTCAATCAAATGCTCATCTTCACAGGATGACGGAGATGAAGAAACAGTTTCTGATGCAGAGTAAATGTTAATATTATGTGTCTACATCAAACAATTTACACATTCACATTTCTTCACATTATTTATGAGGAGTAGCCTATAGAATCTAAGTTTATATCTAAGTATAAACTAATATTCTTATCTCTCCCCCCATCCCCAGTGTGTGGAAGAACAGGAGAAAGGTCCATCAACGTCTGGTGCAAACATAAACACAGTTCAGTGATTTTCTGTAAATGCCACAGTTTAATTCTGTAGAATTTATTCAAAACTACATGATGTTACTCTAATCTACTGTATTTTCAGTTGTCAGTTATATAGATTTCATAAAAAAAAACGAAAAAAAAAAAAAACAGCATTGAATAAATATACCGAAAGACATTTGAAGTGTTTAAACACCACTTCCTCTTTAAAAAGGGGAGACCGAAATAAACTCTGGGTTTACAGAAGTAAACCTGCTCCCGACCAGGTTATGTCATGATCCTGGCTCTTTCTTTCTTTCTCTGGTCTTTCTCTGCCCCCTTCTGGCCACTATCTTACATTACATTACTTGCATCACTCATTCATTATCCCGGTTACCTCCAGCTGTGGCTCATCCTCTCATTACCTCCTCGTTACCTTCCCAACTGTTTCTCACTATCTCTGATTAGACTCTCTATTTCATGGCTTCTCTCTTATTGTTCTTTGTCAGATTATTGCTCTATGTTACGTACCTGTGCATATCGCTCCTGACCCTGTCGTGTCGTGTCCTGTCTGATCCCAAGCTGTTCTGTTCTCTGTATTACCTCGACGCTACTCTGCTACCCTTCCAGCATCGTGAGTGGTCAGGATTGGCGTTCCGTGCCTCTACGGACCCAGTCTGTCTCGTCCTCTGAGTGACCGTCCGTGCTGATCCAGACGGCAGTTTTCTGTTCTGTTATTAAGAGACTTTCTGTTCCATTACCATTGAGATCCCTGTGTTGGATTTACTCGCCTTACGGCTCCTGTGTTTACTCTTCTGAACATTAAATCACTCATTGACTGTCCTTTGCTTTTGGGTCCTCTTTCTCATACGTGACAGAATAATCTGACCAGCAATGGACCCAGCGAGGGAAGATTCACTTCAGACCGCGCTCGAGCTCCAGGAGCCATGCTGGGCCGACATGAGGATGAGCTGGCTGCAACGCACCATGCCATGGATTTCTCTGGCGACTCGTGTCACCGACATTGTCCAGCAGCTCCAGCATCTCCGCACTGATCCTTCCTCTTCTCGAGGACGGGATACGCCTGAGCCTAGAGTGAACATCCCGCCGTGTTATTCCGGTGAGCCCAAGGAGTGCAGGGCCTTTTTGACTCAGTGTGAGGTTGTCTTTTCTCTGCAGACCTCCACTTACGCTACTGATCGTTCCCGCATTGCCTTTGTCGTTCTCCTTGCTGACTGGCCGAGCGCCGGGAGTGGGGAACCGCAATGTGGACTTCGGAGGCTGAATGTCTTCGCCGCTATTCCGCTTTCAAGGAGGAGATGTTGAGGGTGTTTGACCGCTCTGCATATGGGGCGGAGGCTTCTCGTCTCATGTCTACGCTGCGCCAAGAAGAAGGTCAGCAGCAGATTTCTCGATTGAGTTTCGCACTTTATCTGCTTCTTGCGACTGGAACGAGCCTGCCCTAGTTGCCCCTTTTCTCGAGGGCTCAATGCGGACATTAAGGACGAGATACTTGCCCGGGAGACACCGACTCGACTGGACCCTCTTATCGACTTGGCCATTCGGGGTAGAGAGACGTTTTGAGATGCGCCGTCGCAGCCGGGTCTGGAGAGAGCTCTACTCACTACTCCGGTTCCCTCATCGGCTCCATCTTCCGCATCCGACGCTGAGCCCATGCAGCTGGGAGGGTTAGGATCTCCGCAGCCGAGCGTCAACGTCGTATCATGGCTCGCCTCTGCATGTACTGTGCGTCTGCTTCTCACCGTGTCGCCTCGTGTCCAGTAAAAGCCAACGCTCACAGTAGAGAGAGGGTTACTGTGAGCGCGTCAGTCCTGGACCCTCCGACACGCACGCGCACTACTTTTCCTGCACTACTCCGCTGGCCTGGGTATTCCACCTCTTGTCAGGTTTTGATCGATTCTGGAGCGAGGGAAATTTCGTGGATGAAGGTTGGGCTAGAAGACAGGGGATTACCCTCCTAGAACGTGATGACGTCACTTCCATCCACGCACTTGATGGTAGTATCCTCACTAGAGCCCGCTTTGCCACCGCCCCGGTGAGTCTCACCATCTCAGGCAATCATCGAGAGACAATTTCTTTTCTAGTTTTGCAATCTCCTTCTAGTCCAGTAATTTTAGGACACCCCTGGTTAGTCGAACATAATCCCCAGATTAACTGGGCCAGAGGTTCAATTTTGTCTTGGAATTTGTCGTGTCATGTTAAGTGTTTGGTGTCTGCCGTTCCTCCTGTCTCTTCTGTCTCTTTTCAGGAGGAGCCGGGAGATTTGGCTGGAGTTCCCCGGGAGTACATGATCTATCGAGCGGTCTTTAGTCGTTCCAGGGCCACCTCTCTTCCTCCTCACCGCCGTATGATTGTGCCATCGATCTCTTGCCTGGCACCGCCCCTCCCCGTGGGAGGCTCTATTCGCTCTCCGCGGCCCCGAACGCGAAGCCCTAGAGAAGTATTTGTCTGACTCGCTCGAGGCGGGTACCATTGTTCCATCCTCCTCCCCTGCTGGTGCGGGTTTTTTTCTTCGTAAGAAGAAGGATGGTTCGCTGCGACCCTGCATAGATTATCGAGGTTTTGAATGACATAACGGTCAAGAATCGTTACCCCTTGCCACTTATGTCTTCAGCTTTCGAGATCTTGCAGGGAGCTAAGATCTTTTCAAAGCTAGATCTTCGTAACGCTTACCACCTTGTCCGCATTAGGAGGGGAGACGAATGGAAGACCGCGTTTAATACGCCCCTTGGGCACTTCGAATATCGCGTTCTTCCTTTCGGATTGGTCAACGCTCCGGCCGTGTTCCAGGCGCTAATAAATGACGTGCTCAGAGACATGCTGAATATTTTCGTTTTCGTTTATCTTGACAATATTTTGATCTTCTCTCCCTCTCTCCAAGTCCACACTCAGCTAGGGTTGCAACGGTATGAGATTTTCACGGTATGATAATCGTCTCAGAAAATATCACGGTTTCACGGTTTCACGGTATACGATATTAAAATTATCATTATTATAATCAGCATCAGCTATAATGGCCCTTAAATGAATAAAAACAGATATTGTTTTTGGTTGAACATGGTTTATTGTAACAAAGGTTTTTTCAATAGAGTCTTTATGAAATGTATATTTATTTCCTCAGAAATTCTGGGTTGTCTGAAATAACTGATCTGGATTCTGTGATTGAATACAAAATGTATTTTTGAGAATGCAATCAGATAAAATGTAACAACTTTAGTTTGTCTACACAAGAGAAGTTTAATAAATTAAAACATGGACAAAAAAACTATACACAATAGTAATATATTTTAATCATAGGCTAAACCAAACTTTTTTTTTCCAGGTTGTAGGGGAGAGCGGGGCACAACCTAACGCTTTTTGCTTTTGGCTCAATTAATTAAAAAATAATTAGGTTAGATTAATACTTTTTTTTACACAAGCAACATGCACATCTCTGCTACAAATGAACACTTAAAGTTTTTTTCTAGGACCTACCATTTTCGTACAGTTGGACTGAAAGTGACAGAAGTGCAAATGTTACAACTTACCCCATATGCGGGGTTAATTGTAACAGAGAGAGGGGTTAGTTGTAACACTTGTGTGTAACACACATAATTCAGTACTATTTTTATTTGTATAGTTTGATATTGTTTGTGCATCTGTATAGACAGATATCCATACATATCCCTCATCCAATCATCCTTCTATTATGGATCAATATCATGGATAGAGACATAGAAAAG